GAGGTACCCGCTAGGTGTCGTTTCTGCATCACTTCCGTATAATTTCTACTTTGACATTTCCAAATCTTACATTTTTTTTTTACGTTTGACGATGAATACTCGGATTATTGTGGAATGCCTAGGCATTTAAATAGAACGATTAAAGACAAAAATATCTACCGAAACAAGATATAACATATTTTGGTGACATGTTGTAGGTATATGATATTATAGGCCCGATATCCAAGAGGGGTCCAGTGTTAACACATTTATGGAAGTGACTAACCTTCTCTATTTCATTATACCGCGGGTATGATATTTTAATAAAACGTTAATTCTACGTTATTTTTTGGATTTTTCATATGGAATACATTGTAAATGTGTACCAGAAGATTAATTTATGGAAAAAGACGAATAAAAATATTCTTGGATCCAGGGTGTATATTCGAGGGGGGGGGGGTGTCTTGTCCACAAGCACCTGTGCAGCATTCAAGCTTAAAAGACCATTCAAACAATACAAATCACGAGCAGTGCAAACATGAGCCTTTTAAAATAGAGGTAGAATCAAGTGCCATGGATCTGTCATGTAGATTTTGAACTTACCGGTTGGCAGTAAATACAAAATTTACATGTCATGTAGTAAATTTTGTATTTACTGCCATCCGGTAAATTTAAAATTTACAGCACGACAGATCCTTTTTATGCTAGCACTTACCCCGACACGAGACCTTATATGGTCTCAACCAAAGGACCGATCTCCACGTTTTACTACTTATCCAAACTGGACATAAAACATTCTCAATGAATTTTAAATCACAGTGTTGAACCTAACAAATTATATTCCGACTCGTTGTGTGGTCTAAAAAACATGGCTGAACTTATCCATTCAGAAACCCACAGATTGGGATTGCTCTTAACCAGTGTATGTTATTGCCTTGATGCAAGGTCATTTGGTTGAGCCAAGGTCACTGACAGAGAAACTGTAATTTCGCTACCGTATTTCTACTGGTGAAACATTGCTGGTATCATGCAGAGTGTGATATGGCCTTGACTTAAGTTCAAGGTCACTAAGGATAAGATGTTTTGACTGTATGTATGGACTAAAAGAACATGTGTCACTGTGAATTTTTAAAGTTGGTAACACACAGATTGGCTTTTATGACGAAAGTGTGTCATGGCTTGACACAAGGTCATTTGGAATGATCAAGGTCACGTACATTCCTTTACAGTTTTTCCTAGCGAAATATTGTAAGTTGCTTCCCCTTACAAGATTGCTTACATGTATAACTTTAGAATGTGGCATGACCTTGACTCAAGGTCACTTCTTCCTTCTGCAGCTCCAACGGAAGACCTATTCGTTGCTTTGCAACGAGCTCGCTCTAGTTAATGTCTTCCGTTTCAGACGGAAGACCTTATAGTGAATCTACTGTTTCTTCTTATTATTATTAAGGTCTTTCGTCTCCAACGGAAGACCTTATTGTTTTCGTTCGGTTTCTTTTTCCTTGATATTATTATTAAGGTCTTCCGTCTACAACGGAAGACCTTATTGTTTTCGTTCGGTTTCTTTTTCCCTATTATTATTATTATTAGGGTCTTCCGTCTCCAACGGAAGACCCTTCTATTATTCTATTGTTTCTTTTTCACTTTTATTATCATTATTATTATTTTTTTCTGTCAAAATTTTGTGCAGACGATTTCTCAAAGATGGTAGGATGGATTCACTTGAAATTTTCAGGGTTGATGTATCATTATCTAAACCTTATTCATTTTTTCTATTTTATGGAAATTTACTTCCGGTCGGAAGTTATCGCCCTTTAATCGAATTTTAAGTGACCATTTTGTCTACACAAAAACTCAAAAACGACAAAAGCTAGAGTGCTGAAATTTTCAGTGATAATAGAGGACATGTTCTAGTTGTGCACCTCAGTTTTCAAATTTTCTGGAAGTGCCTAGTATGGAAGCTCGGTATTGGTCGAAATTTAGGACATGAATCAGGAGTGAATTTTCGAGACATTTTTTATCATATCTTCAAAACTATGAATATTTTCTTAAAACATATTGAACAGAAATTGTGTAGAATTACTAGATCTTTTATTTGATATCAAAGAAAAAGGGCTGACTCATCACATTAGGGGCCAAGAGGGGCCAAAAGTCTTAAATCCATAACTCTTTAAGGATCAATATTTTGTTATACATTACTAAAGCAAAAATGTTTATCTGAACAATCTACAACTATATATTATGATAAAAAATCTCAAATGTTACAAAATTAGGGGCCATAAGGGGCCAGAATGCTAAATCTTTGACGCTTTATATCTCGAAAGTGGGAAATATTTTGATAAGCAATACTGAACAAAAGATGTTCAAAAAAATATGTTAAACAATATGCAACCTTTCAAAATTTGCTAAATGTCCCCATTAAGGAGTTGAAGGGCCGGCCCCTAAATATTTCTTTTGCATATATCTCGGAAACGAAAAAGAATTTCTGAATAGTTGTTGAACAAAATGTGTTCAAAATCATATGAGCTGTAATGTGATATCAAGAAAAAGGGGCTGGCCCCTCAAAATCGGGGCCGATAGGGGCCGAAAGTCTTTAATCAATAACTCTTTAACAATCAATATTTTGTAAAATATTACTGCAGCAAAAATGTTTATCTTAGCAAACTACAACTATATATTATGTTATTCACATCATATGTTACATAATTAGGGGTCATGAGGGGCCGAAATACTAAATCTTTGACGCTTTATATCTCGAAAGTGGGAAATACTTTGCTAAGCAATATTGAATAAAAGATGTTCACAATAATGTTCTGAACAATATGTAACCTTTCAACTTTTGCTAAACGTCTCCATTAAGGAGTTGAAGGGCCAGCCCCTTTATATTTCTTTTGCATATATCTCGGAAACGAAAAAGAATTTCTGAATAGTTGTTGAACAAAAAGTGTTCAAAATCATACGAGCTTTAAGGTGATATCAAGAAAAAGGGACTGGCTCCTCAAAATAAGGGCCGATAGGAGCCGAAAGTCTTTCATCAGTAACTCTTAAATGATCAATATTTTGTAATACATTACTAAGGCAAAATAGATCATCCTCACACACTTCTTAACTATTTAACATGTTGTTGGCATCATATGTTACGTTATAAGGGGACGTTAGGGGCCAGAATGCTAAATCTTTGACGCTTTATATCTCGAAAGTGGGAAATATTTTGATAAGCAATATTGAATAAAAGATGTTCATAATAATGTTCTGAACAATATGTTATCTTTCAATTTTTGCCAAATATTCCCATTAAGGAGTTGAAGGGCCAGCCCCTATCATTTCTTTTGCAGATATCTCGGAAACGAAAAAGAATTTTAGAATAGTTGTTGAACAAAAAGTGTTCAAAGTCATGAAAGCTGTAAGAAGATATCAAAAAAAAAAAAAAAAAAAAAAAAAAAAAAAAAAAATAGGGCTGGCCCCTCAAAATAAGGACCAAGACGGGCCGAAAGTCTTTAATCTATAATCTTTAATGATCAATATTTTGTTAAAGATTACTGAAGCAAAATTGTTCGTCTTAACAATCATTATATTTGAACGAAAGTCTCAGTCAGATTCTTATCACATCTTATAAAAATCGGACGGAAGACCCACTCGTTGCTCGCAACGAGATCGCATCTAGTTATTATTAAGGTCTTCCGTCTCCAACGGAAGACCTTATTGTTTTCGTTCGGTTTCTTTTTCCCTATTCTTATTATTAAGGTCTTCCGTCTCCAACGGAAGACCTTATTGTTTTCGTTCGGTTTCTTTTTCCCTATTTTTAAGGTCTTCCGTCTCCAACGGAAGACCTTATTGTTTTCGTTCGGTTTCTTTTTCCATATTATTATTATTAAGGTCTTCCGTCCCCAACGGAAGACCTTATTGTTTTCGTTCGGTTTCTTTTTCCCTATTATTATTATTAAGGTCTTCCGTCTTCAGCGGAAGACCTTCTTGTTATTCTTCGGTTTCTTTTCCACTGTTTTTCTTATTATTTTTTTTCTTACCGATTTTGTGCACGCGATTTCTCGAAAACGATTCGCTCGATTTTCATGAAACTTTCAGGTCTGATAGAACATAAAAAAATCTTGATACATATTTTTTTATTTTGATGACGTCACTTCCGGTCGGAAGATTTTTGCGATTTAGTGCTTTTTGGAGGGTCAGTTTGTCCGCAGGTTTTCTAAGAAACCACTCATCACAGGAACGTGAAACTTTTAGCGAAGACAGAGCAACATATGTAGATCTGTAATACGTAGTTAACTTTCACCGGAAGTGCCACGCGTCGACGCTCGCTATGGCCTGAAAAAAGTCGTATCGAGAGTTTCAAATTTTCGAACACTTTCTGTACGATATCTTTTTATTTGGAAATATTTTGTTAAAACATATATAACAAAATTTGTACAGAATTACAAGATCTTTTAAATGATATCTCGAAAAAAGGGCTGGCCCCTAAAATAAGGGATCTAAAGGGGCCAAAATATTTTTCCTGATATCTCAAAAAGTATTGAGAATTTGTAATACTTCAAAGAAGCAAAGTTTTTCAGCATGACAAGTAGCAGCTTGCGAAATCATCAAAATGCGTCAAATGACGTCACTTCCGGCCAAACAGGAAGTAGTAGAAAATTACTTATTTTCACAGATATTGGTACAGTGCTGCTATCCCACAAGTTGACATGGGATGGGATTGGATAGATAGGATTCAGGATTGAGAATTCACGATAGAAATATATAGAAGTTAATCCAATCCTATCCTATACTATCCTGTATCCTACAGCCAATCAGATTCGAGTAAAGGTTAATTCATATGTCAGAATAAATTACAGAAATGCAAAAGGATATAGAACGTGTACAAAAGAATCATTTATAAAATCAGAAAAGAAAATAGACGTGTTTTTTTCTTAACACACATTTCTACTATTACCTTCGAGTAATATGGCGTACGATCTAACCGTGAACGATCACCGGAAAAAGTTTCGCATGTAAACAAAGAAGAGATCGGACATCAAAAGATCGTATTTCTTCAGCATGTTTGGATGATTAACTCGATTCCTACTTGTGTTACAGTTCAATAACATGTTTCTCTGTTAAATGTGCTCTGTTTGGATGGATAATTCCACTTGAACCGTCAGCGGCGGACTATAACAGATCATAATCGCAGTTGTTTGGTGCAAGACCATGTAAGTATACTACACACTGTAAATGTGTGCATGTTTATACGTATCTCTCCCTTTAAGCAATGTTTTAATGACTTGAACTATTAAAATTTTGTTCTATTGTAATATACACAGAAATCGGGTGTGGAAAAAAGAGGTTGTGTAGAAAGGGGAGGGGTAGGGGGGTTAAATATTTACAAATACTTTGTCACATGATCAGATGTATTATACCTTTTTCACTTTGTTATTGCTATATACTCATTTCCCTACTGTGGTTAAAAAACATTTTTTTCTTATCTGATTGCAATTTAAAATAATTAAATGCAGAATCATCATGATCATTTCTTATGCTACTGTGTATAATAAGCCCACTCAGCACTTGCATGTACATTGTATGTATGACCTACTGTGAGTAAAACATAAAACATAAATTAATCATTTATTATCTTCTTCTTTTCAGAGAATGGTACCCAATTTTGCTTGCCCTCATTAGTCATCACAATATAAAGGATTTTACATTTAGAAGTTGGTATGATTAGATTATTTATTTTGTGTTTATGCATGTTTCATTAAAATACATAAAAATCATTATCGAAGTTGAGATGAAGTGTCTGCAGATTTTATGAATAAGTGATTTTCTTCTTTTTAAAATGTTGAGAGTAAAACTGAAATTAATGTATAATTGTTCTGGTCATCATTGTCATGTTATATGTATTTTCATTTTTTTTAATATTCAAATTTCAAGCAACAAATGAAAAGAAATTAACAAACAACATATTAAATAGACTAATACAAGCAGAAAATAGAGAGAGAAAAACATCCAAACATGTACTCATACTAGTTAGCAAGACGACGAGATGAAATGAATTATAATCTACAAGTAAATTATGTAAATTATGATTGTTTAATTAAGATATGAGTTCTGACTATGAAGTTGCAATATAAGATTTGATTTTGCTTGATTTGTTTAAAATTAATGCATTACTCTGGGAGAGAAAAAGGTTAAATTTAGACAATTGTACATGAAATGAGAAAGATAATCACAATCAAATACAGTTTTAATGCAATGCAAAATGCATATGACACAATTTACAATGTACATGCACATAATGGTGTGTGTTTTTTTCTTCAGGACAATCCTGCAAATTTGCAGCTGTACAAATTTTCTTCATCTCATCTGCTGCTGGAATAAATAATGAAAGATTTTCAAACCAGTGTCCAAGAGCCCCCTAGAGTCTGGAATGATGGTGTTCTTTATTAAGGAGATCAGTGTGTGATGTATTTGTTTTCTGTGCATTGATGACATTTGTGAAACTGTTCGGTTACTTGAAATTCAATTTGAGCAATGGACAAGCAGGCCAAATAATATGCATATAAAACATACAACTGTAATAAGACATTGATAAACTTCAATTTAAACTAACTACATGTACATGTATCTTTGAGCTTGGCATTGAAATACATGTATACTTTTCATGGACACTTTTAATGAATTTGTCTCATGATAATGGAACATTCAATTGTTATACATTGTAGATATAAATTGTAGATAATATGCATTTGGTCCAATATATATAATTATATTTATATTCACTGAAAAAAGGGATTACCCTGAATAAATATTGTGAACTTGGTCAATTATTTTTATTCCTCATTTAGACACTGAATAACATTCAAGATCAAATGTCAAGATCAAAAACAAGATTTACATGTACTTAAATTTGGGTTATGAATACTGTAACAACTGTGGATTCTTGAGCATGTTTTATAAGATCTAAGGAATATGTGTGAGCTGACTACAATAATTATTGCTGTCAACCTGTCTGACTATGAAGATTTAGGAAAATGTTTTCTGTTAAACATAAATTGATTAAATTCTCACACATTAGTATTTTTTTAATTAAGATACACTTGTATGGCACTGAACTGACCATAAATTGAGAACAAAATGAAGCAAAATAAGAAATTTAAGCATTTTGAATATCTTGATTTTTATTTAGCAAACATGATGAAAATGTTGCATGTTTGTAAAATATTCACATACAAACAAATGATGAACTGAACCTTTCAAACAGGAATAACTTTAATAATAAATGTAAAACAAATTTTTATCATACATTTAACATGTTTAAAATTGAATATAATAAGACAATTTTAACTTATTTAATAAATGAAAGTCAGCATATTCTAGATCTAAATTTTGACTTGTCTGTTCTTGGTTTATGGTCTTGTCATATCTTATCATATCTTTTTTCTTATTTAGATTTACACCAAAAGTAAAATCTAATATACATCTGATAAAGGTACAGTTAGATCTATACATTATTTTCGTGATGCCCAGTTAAGGGGAAAACAAAGTTTTGCATAAATTTTACATGAACAGATGAAACATACACTTGTTAAAACATCAAAAATATCCTATTTTTAGGTCACCTGAGTCACTCAGGTGACCTATTGCTATCCGTTTTTGTCCGTCGTCGTGCGTTAACATTTAAACATTTTCAGCTTCTTCTCTGCAACCGCTCAACCAATTTCAACCAATTTTGGCATATAGCATCTATGGGTGAAGGGGGACAAAAATTGTGAATTTCATGGTCCCTGCCCCCCTGGGGCCTGAGGGGTGGGGCTAAAACCACCAAAATTAATGCAATCTTTAAAAATCTTCTTTACTCCTGGACATCAAGCAGTCAAACTATTGGCATGATTGTAATAAGCATTAAGCCCTCTACCAAAATTGTGAAATTCATGGCCCCAGGGTCAGGGGTTCTGGTGCTAGGGCGGGGCTATATAGATCATATAGTGAAAGTGCATTATTTCTTTGAAAATCTTCTTCTCTGCTCCTGGGTATTAGATAAACTAACTAAGTACATAGTTATATAGTGCAAGACTGCCTCTTCCAAAATTGTGAATTTCATGGCCCCTGGGTCAGGGGTTTTAGTGTTAGAGAGGGGCTTTATTGATTATATAGTGAAAATGCATTATATCTTTGAAAATCTTCTTCTTTGCTCATGAGTATTAAATAAATTAACTAAGTACATTGTTATGATGAACATAGCTGCTTCTTCCAAAATTGTTAATTTCATGGCCCCTGGGTCAGGGGTTCTGGCTTTAGGGTGGGGCTCTATTGATTATATAGTGAAAATGCATTATATCTTTGAAAATCTTCTTCTCTGCTCATGAGTATTAAATAATTTAACTAAGTACATTGTTATGATGAACATAGCTGCTTCTTCCAAAATTGTTAATTTCATGGCCCCTGGGTCAGGGGTTCTGGCTTTAGGGTGGGGCTCTATTGATTATATAGTGTAAATGTATTATATCTTTGAAAATCTTCTTCTCTGCTCCTGGGTATGAAATGAACTAACTTAAAGTACATTGTTATGATGACCATGGCTGCCTCTTCCAAAGTTGTGAATTTCATGGCCCCTGGGTCAGGGGTTCTGGTGAAGGGGGGGGGGGGGGGGAGGGACTCTGTTGATTATATAGTGAAAATTCATAATTTCTTTCAAAATATTTTTTTCTACTCCTGGTTATAAAGCAAAGAAACAAGTGTATAGTTATGATGAGCAAGGATGCTTTTATAAATTTTTTAAAACTTGTGGTCCCAGGGGTTCTGTTGTTTCTCTGAAAGGGGGGGGGGGGGCTCTATTTGATAAGATAGTGAAAATGTGTGAATTCTTTGAAAATCTTCAACTAATTGCATAGTTATGATGATGAGGGTACCTCTTCCAAATTTGTAAATTTTCAACATCTGGACCATTTAGTCAAGTGTTCTGGTCCTGGCCAGGGCTCTATTAATTTGTATTCTATTGAGTGAAGTTATTCCCCTTTGCCATTCACTTTTGATAATTAATCACTGTAGATAATGTATTTGAAAGGTTAATAGAATAAGAGAATTATGCAAGAACATTTATTGTATAATATAAAAAGTACTTTCATAGTTTTAATAATTAGGTAGACTTGGAAATAATAGATGAATAAAAATGAAACAAAAATAACTTATCTTCTTAAATGTTCTTCAAAGGCAAAGTGAGGCCAATGTGAGAGGTAATAATATAGACATTTTGTTAAAAGTCTGCATGGTAATAGTGATAAATGGGGGACAGATAGAAAGATACTAGACCAATTATATTGTTGATCTTAATCGTACTAATTTTCTTGCTATTGGGCAACAATTAAAGCTTCATTTATCAGTTTATGGATCCTCTAAATTGTTGTACTCAGGTGACCGATAAGGCCCTTGGGCCTCTTGTTGTCATTATTTAGTATGTGTAGACATGATAGAGAAATTGTTTCTTCAATGGTACGGTTATAATTCAGTGTACCTACCCCGCATGAAGGATTTGGTATTCGTGGTCTGATTCTTAAAAAGAGTTTAAATTTTGTTCCTTTTGTCTACTTAATAATAACATTAGAAAAGTATCTGCAATCTTTATTGTTTCCCCATTTTTCACTCTCTAATTTTAACACCAGTTATTTTTCATAGAGAACAAATTCGAAAGAAATCATGAATACCTTGACGTCTCCTGATCATTGTTAGTATGTAAAATTAAACACAAATAAAATTTAACTATATTTTTTTCTTCAGTTCTTCCGAAGTTCCAATTTCTTCACATGTTCGCTAGATCAATACTTGCCTACATTTTCTTACAATTCTTTTGTTTACATTTTAACTGGTTACTCGCAAATTAATTCGTGGGGGGTTTCAGAAATTAATGGAAGTCGATCTTGATTATTTTTTTCTCCATTAAAATTCATTACATTTAAATTAATTACATAACTATAACTGAATTTTATTTGATGGTCATTTTATAATTTTTTTTCGTTTTGTCAAATTAACTCCTAAATATTAAAAAAAACTGAGAGCAGCAGGATACAATGTAGGATAGGATAGGATTAGACTGAATGACAGGATAGGATTGTGGATGCAGGATTCATGATAGGATAGCTAGGATAGGATTGTCAACTTAAAGGATAGCAGCACTGTATTGAATTGAATTATGCATGTCACAGAGGACGTCTGATTGTATTTCCTGTCCGGTATCGTCTCTTTTGTCAACTTCCGGTTAAACAGGAAGTGACTATAAATGACGTATTTCTGCAGATATCAACATAAAATTAAATGATTGAATTCAACCAAGACTTTTGACCCAATTTTCTATCGATTGGGGTGACTACCGGTCAAACCGGAAGTAGTCTTGATTTGCTTTATTTAACGAAAATCAGGATAAAAATCATAAAAAACTAAATACAGATCGACATATCATTTTTGGTCTGGAGGCCTTTTAAAGTATACTTTACTTTCATTTATCCATCTTACAAGCAATGCTTCTGAAAATTGGACGGAAGACCTACTCGTTGCTTTGCAACGAGCTTTGCTCTAGTTATTATTATTATTCTTCCAACCGATTTTGTGCACGCGATTTCTCAGAAACGGCTAGGCCGATTAACACCAAACTTTCAGATGTAAAAGATATTCAATTGATCTTGATAGGTTTTTTTGTTTTTTGATGACGTCACTTCCGGTCGTGAGATATTGACGATTTTCTGATTTCCAGAGGGTCGGCTTGTCCTGGAAACTCCTCCTAAACGACTAAAGCTATTGAGTTAAGATTTTCAGTGAAGATAGAGGAAAGATTGTAGATGTGCAATTGGGCATCTATATCTTTCCAGCTCAAATGGCGTTGAAGCTCGCCTGGGCTCGAAAAATAGGCTCACAAACATCTCGCAAAATTTGACACGTTTTCTTTTATATCTTTTTACCTGTAAATATTTTGTTAAAACATGTAGTACAAAAGATGTGTAAAATGATAAGACCTTTCATTTGATATCGAAAAAAAAAGAGCTGATCCCTCAAATTAGGGGCTCAGAGGGGCCAAAAGTCTTTCATGTATAACTCTTGAACGATCAATATTTTGTAATAAATTACTGAAGCAAAAATGTTCATCTTATCGATTTGCAACTATATGTTTTAAAATTTTGATCATATGTTACGTAATAAGGGGCCAAAAGGGGCCAGAATGCTAAATCTTTGACGCTTTATATCTCAAAAAGGGGGAATATTTTGAAAAGCAATATTGAACAAAAGATGTTCAGAATAATGTTCTAAACGATATGCAACCTTTCAATTTTTGCAAAACGACCCCATTAAGGACTTGAAGGGCTGGCCCCTAAATATTTCAATTCAGCATATCTCGAAACGAAAATAGATTTCTGAATAGTTGTTGAACAAAAAGTCTTCAAAATCACAAGATCTTTCATTTGATATCAAGAAAAAAGGGCTGATCAATTAAATTAGGGGCTCAGAGGGCCAAAAGTCTTTCATGTATAACTCTTGAACGATCAATATTTTGTAATAAATTACTGAAGCAAAAATGTTCATCTTATCGATTTGCAACTATATGTTTTAAAATTTTTAACATATGTTACGTAATAAGGGGCCAAAAAGGGGCCAGAATGCTAAATCTTTGA